AATTTCCTAGCCTCTTCACTGAGTTGGGCGCAAGGCTAAAATTTCCTCCGCGTGGTCAGAGTGGTTACGCGTGCTCGGCTGCTGACCCAAAGGCGGTGGGTTCGCTCCTGGCAGAGGCGGTCGCATTTCGACGCAGGCGAAATGCCACAAGCCCGGGTACTGAGCCATGACAGTGCACGTTGAAGAATAATACCGCGTGGTCGAAATTTCTGAAGCCCTCCACTATGGCCTGTCTCAATAATATCGTGGTGTTGGCTCTTGAAACCCCATATATCGTTACATTATTTTGATTAGGACGTACAATTACAACGTATTATATATACAGCAACATGAGAAACAGAAACAGGTAAACTCGGTTAGACCCATGTTGAACAGAGTGTATTGAATAGTGAAGACTAACCCCCGTATTTCACAAACACTCCTCGACTCGACTTTCACTCTTCACTTGACAGAGTTGGGCACTGTGCCACAGGTCGCCCCGCCGCGGTGGTCTAGTGGCTAAGGTACTCGGCTGCTGACCCGCAGGGCGCGGGTTCGAATCCCGGCTGCGGCGGCTGCATTTCCGATGGAGGCGGTAATGTTGTAGGCCCGTGTGCTCAGATTTGGGTGCACGTTAAAGAACGCCAGGTGGTCTAAATTTCCGGAGCCCTCCACTACGGCGTCTCTCATAATCATATAGTGGTTTTGGGACGTTAAACCCCACATATCAATCAATCACTGTGCCACAGGTCGGCTCAAAATGACGCTGCGCTACTCAAGAATAGCAGCAGATTATCGCAGAAATGCAGTGACTTGCCGTGCCTGGAGAGGGCGCTTCCATCGGCTTTCTCAGCAGCTGGCGAATATATGCGGAAGGGAAGGTGAAGCTCTTGGACTAGGATTCAGTGTAACGAAGTGTGGTTTGATGGTATTCAATGATCCCTGTGATCAGACGGTGTCCATACAAGGCCAAGAAATACCGAGGGTAAGTGAATACAAGTACCTTGGAGTATGGGTAAATGAGAGTGATAGATACATGGAGGTACAGGAAAAAGCCTCGGCAGCAAAAGGAAAGAGGAATGCGGCAATAATGAAGCACAGAGCGTTGTGGGGATACAATAGGTATGAGGTGCTTCGAGGTCTGTGGAAGGGTGTAATGGTTCCAGGGCTTACTTTTGGGAACTCAGTGGTGTGCATGAGGGCAGAGGTGCAATCGGGAATGGATGTAAATCAAAGGACTGTGGGACGCCTCGCGTTGGGTGCTCACGGGAAGACGACAAACGAGGCTGTAAAGGGCGATATGGGGTGGGCAGGTTTTGAGGCGAGGGAAGCGCAGAGCAAAATAAGGTTCGAAGAAAGGCTAAGAAATATGAAGGAGAGTAGATGGGCAGAGAAGGTGTTCCGTTATTTGTATAGGAAGAGCGTGGACACACAGTGGAGAAAAAGAACTAGAAGACTCACTAGTAAATATACGGCTGGTATTGTGAGCCATATGTCAACAAAGAGCGTTAAGGGAAAAGTCAGGGAGGCGGAGAGGATTTACTGGATGGCAGCTATGGAGAAAAAACCGGCTTTGAGTAACTACCGAAAGGGCAAAAATGAAATAAGGAGGGAGGCATTTTACGATAATTCAAGGGGAAGCGCTTTACTGTTTGAAGCGAGATCGGGTTGCCTTAGAACGCGTAGTTATAAAGCAAGATTCAGTAAAGAAGAAGAACAATGCACATGCTGCGGGAAAGATAAGGAAACGGCGGAGCATGTTCTGATTGAATGTGGAGATATCCACCCAGGTGTACGTTTGGGCACGAGCCTACAGGAAGCCTTGGGTTTTAGGGACAACAATGGAAAGCTGAACACACCCGCGATTGAAATAAGTAAGAGACGGTTAGAGTATTGGTGGCAGAAAATTAGAGAGAAAGGACAAAAATAAATATTGGAAAAATAAAATATGGACAGTGTGCCGTAAATGGCAGAGAACTTAAGCTGAAAATTTACCTTTTTTCCATTAAGATAGAATTTATCGAAGTAGAGGCATTAGGCCAACATAAAAAAAAAGGAAAAAAGATTTTTTTTTTTTTCGTCGAGCCTGGTGGCATACTTGTCACCACCCCGTTATAAAGGGGACGCTCATAGCATCCATCCATCCATCAAGTGAAGGGGAAGCGTTGAGTGAAGGGACGTTCTAGGATACGGAGGTAAGGAAGAAATTCGCGTGACAAGCATTCCGGATGACGCTTGAGATCATGCAGCGTAAGCACACTGCATGAGGCGTCGCCCATAAGTATACCGTAACCGAACAGATGCATGGACCGACGATTCTCAAGAAATCTTAAGTGAGTATAGCGTGTATACGGGCTGTCAGAAGACGGTTTTTGGTTCAGCGTGTATCCGGTGCAGTGTAACAATGGCGTGCCTCTTTCTGCGGTAATTGCGGTCATTGTTCGCAATAGAAACAAAAGTGCAGAAAACAGGGCGGGAATTAAATTTAGACCGGAAGCAGTGTCTTTGCGCGAACAAGGCGTGCAAGCTCCTTATTACGTTGCTTCCTTCTTACAGAGGAAGTGGCGTGTTCCCTACAACGTGGAACGCTTGTGTCTACCTGACAATGCTCGTTTCGCGAAGAAAAAAAAAAATTTCCGGAAATAGCGTATATGATCCCGCATCATAACCACACAGGAAACAAAGAAGAGAGATGCATTCTTTTTTGCATTGTCTTAGAAATAATTTTCTTTCTCTCGTGCGTGCGCGTGCCTTCGTTCTTCCTCCAGGTTCGTCAAGACATAGCTTCCTCTTATTACCGTAAAAGAGCTATACGCTGTCATAATTTCGCTCGCGGAACCGTGCCCTTCAAATGTGATAGCTGGGGTAACCACGACCTTAATTACAAATGACAGTACCGGTTGACCGGTCAGCGCTGGAAAGACTCCACTTAAAAACGCATTAGGACTTTTTGTGGCTTGTTTCGTTATTTACTACAGACTTGCTTCGGAGTGCGTTACCTTCCTTTGGAGTCGTCCTGTGTGTTATATATTGTCCGACAATGGCGGAATGAAACAAACACTTCCGGATGGTCAAATTTTATCCTGCAAACTTCGACTTCGACTGTGCAAAATTCGAGCCCAATATTCGTTGGCCACCCTGCAGCTCCAGGCCCTAAATACTATAACCATTTCTTTTTATGGTGTTACAAAGCGAGTTGGCACAACTAACACAACGTGCGTGATTACCAAAACATAGCAGCATTCCTACAGGTAGCAGTGTAAGAAATTTTTTTTGGGGGGGGGGGGGGGGGGGAGGGCGCCCAGGTTGCCTTCTTGGTTTGGGGGGTGGGAGCACCTCCTTGAAATAATCATTTTTTGCTCACTATGCCTTGACGAAAAAATATCCCGGGGATGGGGGGACACATTTGGTGGTGGCTACACAGTGCTGTAGCCACCACCTGGCTACAGCACTGACTACAAGAGGCTACACTATGTTCACAAAGTGAAGATGTCGCTGTAGTACACAGTGCGTCAACGCATAGGCAGACAAATATTTAGTCGTTGATGTATACGGCGGCGCACTGTTAATCAGTAAAAAAAAAATGAAGTACATTGTCCTCCGAGGCGGCCACATAACATTCCACGTTTCAGGAAAGTTCGTTGAGCCGATGTCGCCGTAAATGCCGCAGCGAGTCTTACGCGGGAACAGTGCGCGCTCTGACTGGTAGTCTTTCGTCAGGTCCGCTCGAACATAGAGTTTCCTGAAATTAACTAGAGAGGACTCTGGCGCTGCAATCGTTCAGCGACCACGGGAATGATAGGTAGCACACAGAGAACGCACTTGCGGCTTTGTTTGTTGCCTTGTTTTTGGTTCTGTTTCGAACGAAAGAACAAACTGTTTCAAACTTCGTCATTTGATTTGAAATTGGTGAGCCTCAAAGGTTAAGAAGTGCAGCTGCTGAACATCTGCTTTTTGTTTCGTGACAAAGCAGCTTCAAGCTACACGGAGCCGAAACCGTGAGCCGATAGTACGAAAATGAGACAAATCCGTGTATATTACCCATCATTCCCATGCTAACTGAAGCACCATTCGCTGTTGCTCGAGCCCATAGACACTAGTGCCAAAGTTCCCGCTATAGTGTACTTGTAGGAAACTCTATGCGCTCAAGCAGCTCCTTGGGCCCGCTACTACAGCGCCTCTGTTCGCCATTTTCCAGGCGCGCTCATTGAGCTCCGTCATCTTAAACTGATAACGTCCCAGTTATACTGATAACGTCCCAGCTTTTTTTTATCCGCATCAAATCAACAAACAGTGCTACGGCAAACTCGCACTCGCGAAAACACTCGCGATAATTTCATATTGCGACTTAGAAAAACCGGCAGAACAATTGATTATCAGTCCAAGATGGCGCGCCAACGAAGCCCCGTGTCGAACCGTATAGCGAAGCAAATCGCACGCGCATCACGAAAGAGCACAGCGCAAGGTGCTCACTGCGCATGCGTGAAATTCACTAACTGCGGTGACACCGTCCGGCCGCCACGCACTCAGGTGTTCCCTATAAAACAGTGGATCACTGTGTGTATTGATTGATTGATATGTGGGGTTTAACGTCCGAAAACCACCATATGATTATGAGAGACGCCGTAGTGGAGGGCTCCGGAAATTTCGACCACCCAGGGTTCTTTAACGTGCACCCAAATCTGAGCACACGGGCCTACAACGTTTCCGCCTCCATCGGAAATGCAGCCGCCGCAGCCGGGATTCGATCCCGCGACCTGCGGGTCTGTAGCCGAGTACCTTAGCCACTAGACCACCGCGGCGGGGCACTGTGTATATTGCCTTCGCGCTAGGAGTTGCAGGGAATGCCTGTCACGTATGCGGTGTATATTCATTCATACAATTCACTTCTATTATACACGTTATAAAATACAATTTTAGCATCTTCTTTTGAACGTGTGCTTGCTTTGCGGGAAGATGGATATACATTTGTTATGCAAGAGAATTGAGCACGAAATGTTCTTTTTTCTTTATGTTTGCAGATGTCCTACTGACCGCACCATCATGGGACCCTTGCACAAGGTCAACGAGGACGGCAAGGTCCTTCACGCGCCCTTCGACGCCTTCAAGTTTCCAACGTCCGAGATTGTCCAGTTCAAGGCGCTCGTGACACCCTGTCTGCCGACCTGCGAACCGGTGAGGAATCAGTTGGAGCAGAGAGAGAGAGAGAGAGAGAGAGAGAGAGATAAATAAAGAGGAAAGGCGGGGAGGTTAATCAAGCTTGGCTCGGTTGGCTACCCTACACTTGGACTGTGGGAAAGGGAGAATAATAGAAAGGAAATAGATAGAAAAGAAGTGGAGTAAGAAAGAAAAGGATGAATAGTCGGCTCGAGACTACACAGCGCGGTCTCACACTGTTCTTTCGCAAACGGTCGTGTAGTCTGGTGGTCCTTAAGAAGTACAAGAGGGCTTTCGTGGCTTTGCGCGTATGGGAGGCCGTCGGCCAAGGTCCCAGGACCTTCTCTTCTGTAAGCGGCCGTGAATCCTGCTGACAGAGCTTGGCTTCCATAACACGCCGTTCAGGCTGGTATACCGGGCAATGGCATAGAATGTGCTCGAGCGTTTCCTCGCAGGCGCAGATGTTGCATGCCGAAGGGCTCGCCATTCCAAGGAGACGAGAGTACGCGTTCGTAAATGCCACGCCCAACCTCATGCGACACAGTAAAGTTTCAGCGCATCGTGGGAGCCCGAATGGCAAACTAAGTTGCAAGCAGGAATGCAAATGATGGAACTCAGGCTAGAGCCAGGCCTACAATATTTTGTGTGGCCGTCAGATGTTCAGCGTGAAAAGGTTCGGTGCAAGGACGGGCGAACTTTGAACCTCGTAAAATGTTCCGCTTCCAAATAAGTTCGCTTTCTCTATCAATTTCTTCTTCTGAGCCCAGTTTTTTTAAAAAATCTGAGGGAACTTGCAGAAAGCAAGGACACTTAAGACAGGACAGTGTACGTACACTACCCTCTATTGTTAAAGAGAACACTCTGATGAGCACCTGTCATATTTCGGGCCCTACAACTTCGTGCACGGCACTATACGGCCTACAAAAAGAGTCAGAACAGTCAACCAGCAGCAGTCCTATGCAAATCTAAGCCGCTATGCTTTTTTTTTTTTTCAGAGAGCGAAATCAGAACATGGTGCACTTGAAAGTATTCCCTTTTACTGTGAACCCTTCTGCACAATGAGCAGTCGATGACGATGTTCAAGTCGTGTGCGCGACACAGCAAGGAGACATATTTAATTGACGAAAAATTAAGGAGCGCTTGACCTATCGCGTAAGTGTGGCTAAGCGAAGCTTGGCCTGAACTTACGTGCATGTATGTGTGCGTGTACGTTTATTTATTTATTTATTTCATGTAGCGCTATGCTCTCCCATGACTGTTTCCTTCCTCCATGCCGTAAATTGGACCTTCATTGCTGTGCTTAGCAGCACAACACTTCAGTTGCCTGCACATCAGAGTGCCTTAATAATAAGGACTCTGCTAAAGGCAACAAAACGGCGGTTATGCGTTCATATCCAGGCAGGATTAAATTTGGTGCCGTCGAATTACGAGTCACCTCGGCAAACGATGACATTTCGCCATATCAGGAACGACTGAACACCCCCCCGCCCCCTTTTTCTTTGTGATCGAAAGAGCATCAATTACTGGAAAGCGGCGCATACAAATGAAGCACGTCGTCGGCGCACCTTGGATTGTCGCATCGCTGCGCACTCGCCGGTGCCAGGTATTTGGCGCACGACACCGCCTCCGAAATTTGCGAGGTGTCAAAGCTTTCGCTTAGAACCGCCGCGTCGCTGCGCCAGTTAGTTCTCCAGAAATGGAAACGGGCTAGACCTCGCTTTAACCGTATAGGCGTGCGCACAGGGAGGGGTGGGGAACCCACTCCCCTAGTCGCTGAGAGGGGAGCTAAGAGAGAGGGGGGGTGCCACGTCAGCCTTCCACATTAACGTAACAGGGAGGGGGCGCTGTGCATCTGTGGAGACGGGGAGGGGCAAAGGCAGCCCCATTCATTGACATGAAAGCAAAGGGGGTGCTGTGATGAAGCACCCCCCACCCCCCAAAGGAAAAAATATGCGCACGCTTATGACGTGAGCTTTTGTTTCTTTGTAGTTTGGTATACGCTCGTTTGTTTACAAGACCAGAATATCCGTTCAAACAAGTTTCAGGAGATATCTAAACTTCGGCCATGTGTGGCCTCGGGTAACCGCTTATGCACTTTATCGTGAATACAAAGCACAAAAAAAAGCAAATGAACGAACAAAAAAAAAATACTGGTGCATCACGCAGTGTGATTGCGCTGCTGAAGAAACCCGGGTGGTCCGAATCAATCTGCACGGATCCTACCAGTGTGGCATATCCTCCATATCCTCCGTGTGTTTCACCAGGACATTAACGCTCATCCGTCAAATCGAAGGTGCCCCATTATAGTGCTGGGTGCGGCGCTTCGCTAAAGCGACCGGTGAGTGCAGTCGCCCAGCGGTTATGTGGGGTGTGGTTATGGCCATGCGTAAGTGGCGTAACCTCTACCCGAGTACTCATTAAATTTGGAGCGTGGTCAATCATTACAGCTGCCCCTGGTTTAGTCAGAGCGGCGCCCTTGCTTCGGCTTCCCCAGCTCGCGTTTCCTTCTTCTCTCTTTTATTTTTTTTTTTCAGCTCGCCTGTGTTTCAACTTATCTGCTCCTTACTTCCCCCACATTATTTAATATAGTATACATTCTCGCTGCGTTATTCGATGGCTCTTGACAAGAGTGTATTTGTAATGAGTGTTGTCAATGGGCCAGAAATGTATGAAAAAGTCGTCTCAGCGACTTTGTGTTGGTGTGTTGCAGGCAAGAATGCAGAAGAAAATTGGACCCACTTAGAGATATATTTTACATCCACAATAGATTGAGTATATAGGAATGACTTGACAAGGAAGTAGAATTACAGACGTGGACACAGCGCTGTTTTTTGCTACGTCCTTGTTAACTATCGCTTGCTCATTCTGTCGTGGATCCTAACCAACGAACCCGCCAACGTGTTTTAACCAAGTTGGTAGCTTTTAATGCACCTGGTGTTGACACCAAGTGCTGACACTAGACGCATGCAAACGGCAACAATAGAAGAAAAATCATCAGGGCAAGGTTTGTTTTGATTCCTTTTCAACCAGTGTCCGCTCCGCACTGTGCGTTTACTGAGCTAATGTGGTACCAGAAGTTCGGATATATAAAATAAGAGTAATCTTTCTAGAGGAGTTGATATGAAATAAACACTTCGAGAAAATTTGCTTTCGAAAATTTTGGGGATTCTCCCCCCCCCCCTCTATTTTATTTTTATGAGCATAACAAGAAACGCGTATCAGGGGGCAAACCCGTCTAATCATTAACTGTAGACCCACAAGGGAGAGAGAGAGTGAGAAAGAAATGGCCGAGAGGTTAACCAGATATTGGCATCTGGTTTGCTACCCAGCGCTGGGGGCGGGGAAGTAGGGGCAAAAAAGAGGGGGTAGATAGAGAAAAAAAAAAAACGCACGCGCACTCATAAGAAAACGAAAACACACACAGGAAGGGCGTCCTAGCTACAACCGTTAAGTAAGGCCGGTCGATCGCAAAAAGTTTAGTAGCGCTTTCAGGGCCCTCTTCTGTGAAGTCGCATCCTGTCGATACTGCAGAATTCCCTGCTCCGACAGAGGTTGATCATCTAATTTGTTGAGTTCCTTGCGAAGGCATCCGTTGTTTACTATACGCTAGGCAGTCACAAGGAATATGTTGGATTGTTTCCTCTTTGCCACAGTGGCCACAGGCTGCGGTGTCGGCCATCCCAATGCGGAAAGCGTAGGCGTTGGTAAACGCAACGCCCAACCACAGCCTACATAACAGGGTCTGGTCTGCTCGGCAAAGCCTCGACGGGACTTGAAGACTTAACGTAGGGTCAAGCGAGTACAGTCGGGCATGCTTGAAGTGTGGCTTATTCCATCGTGATGTGGTTTGCTGGCGAGCAAGCCTGCGGAGCTTTCGTGCAGCATCTGTCCTAGAAAGTGGTAGTCGTAGTTTATGATCTTCTGTGTGGGCTGAGCGGGCAGCTTGATCGGCCCGTTCATTGCCGATGATTCCGCAGTGACTGGGCAACCACTGAAATGTAATTTGGTGCCCTTTCTCAGTCAGGTGGTGTATAACCTCTGCTATCTCTAGTACCAGCTGCTCGTGTGGTCCACGGCGTAAGGCTGATAGTAGAGACTGCAGTGCCGCCTTCGAGTCGCAGAAAATAGTCCACTTGCGTGTAGGTTGATCAACTACAAATTGCAACGCGGCACGAAGTGCTGCCAATTCTGCTGCCGTTGATGTTGTTGCGTGAGATGTCCACAAGAGATGGCCACAAGAAGTGGCCATATTACTTATGGCGCTATTCTGGACAGTCAAATTTCGTCATTGATAAATGACAAGACAAATGAGAGTCCAAAAGAAGGATATTTAAAGACCTCTTTCTTCCGGAATGTCACCCTTGTGTTTGGTGAAGAAGAATTTTTTATGGCGACTGAAACGAGGCTACACGTACAAAGGCTTCATCACGATTGTCGTTATGCGTGGCTCCCTGCTTCGCCACTAATGTGTATAGGGGACAGTAATCCGAGAGTCGTCTCTTTCTCGAGCGCTGTAGACCGTGTCAAGGCTCTCGTCTTCCAGCGATTCTCGATCACGTTCCAAAGCAGACTATCGAGTGCATGTCGTTGTGTTACAATTCCGGAAAGCATCGTAGACAATCTGCGCTGACAGCTCAGAATACAGCATCGAACCCTATAGCAGTATTCAAACTGGTGGAACGCATTTCGATGGCGTCTGTGCGACATGACGTCAGCTTATGTCGACGAGACAAAACTATGAAAAACGAATTGTATTGTTCGTTTAACTTCCAAGAACTCGCCCGCTCGATTTCGTGCCGACCGGTTGTGCCCCCGCGATCTCCGACGACAGCGCAGCTCTGGCCGATCGGCTCGCCCTCCGCCATCTCCTGACGCCGACAAGAGCTGTCGTAAAGTGGTGCCCCGTCCTCGGACTCCTGTGACCGTGTCCATATTTCCTATCTTCTCCTTATTTTTGCATGTGGGTCTCTCTGTCCCTGCTCTAACGCTATCCATTTTAACTCTTCCATACTCCCATT